CTGCTTTATACACAGGCCTCAAAAAACTTAGCCACCTCATCAAAATTATTCAAAACAGCACCAACCAACATAAGATAAACTGGCAACACATCCACTTACACATCACACTTATAAACTCATACACAAAATATAACCTACAACCACCCTCCTCACAAAATAGCAGTGACATCCAACTATGGCTCCAACAAGCCTTCACAATATGGAAACAAATCTACTATACATATCATCTCGAATACTCACTCAAACTCAGACAGCAAATTAATCAAGCCTCAGAAAAAAGATGTGAAACTCTTGTTTCAAAACCCACACAAGCAATTAACAGTATACTAGATCGCTACAAACCTCCAGTTTACTTTTCTAATATCAAACTTCCAAACCAGCTGACTACAGATCTTACAGAAATCAAGCAGCACATACAACAACATTTTAACAACTGGACTGCACACAAACCTATCAACCAAATGATCTTTGAAAACTACTGGCAACAACACTATCAATCTTTATCTCACATCAATACCCAATGGTACGAACTACTTACTACACCAATCACAACAGAAGAGGTACTCCAAACAATCTCCAAGCTCCCAAACAACAAAGCATGTGGGCCTACAGGCATAAGCTACGAAATGTTCAAACACCTTAGCCAACACTGTATCACAGCATTTACTGCTCTGCTAAACTGCTGCTTTATAGAAAACCACATCCCTAAGCAATGGAAACACAGTAGAATCTATCCTATCCCCAAAAGGAACACCTTTGAAGGTGATCTCAACCTAACTCGTCCAATTAGCCTTATTGAACATGCCAGGAAAATATATACAAAAATCATAACAAACAGATTAAACAAAGTGTTTTCAGATTACCCTATTCTCTCACTATATAACTATGTCGCCCTCCCAGGTAACAGCACATCTACACCTATCCATTTCCTCAATAACCTAATAGAAGACGCAAATTGTAACTACAAAGAAATCTGGATTCTATCTCAAGACATGAGCAAGGCTTATGATTCTGTTAACTCAGTTCTCTTACGCCATGCACTTGCACGTCTCTCCCTACCCAACACCATTATTAACACGATTACTGACATATTTACAGACCATCAAAATGATGTTATTACTAATCTTGGGATTACATTGCCATACTCTGTACAAGATGAAATCGACCAAGGTGAAACAATCACTCCACTTCTCTGGCAGATATATTACGATCCTCTTATATCACATATCTATACTAATATACAAGGCTACCAAACTCAAGTCTCCTGGTTTACTAGCCTCAAACAACTTCTACTAACCAACTCAAGACTAGATGCTCAGTACTGGCATACATGGATGACACCTTATGGATAGCATCATCTCAAGCAGAACTAAACAACTTACTCTCTATTGCAGAGTCTTTTTATACTATAGCCAACATCAAAGTAAACCCTACAAAATCTGTTCTTTCAACAAATACTACCTTCAACTCTGACGCCCTGTTAGTTTCAACAACCAAGTACTCATACCTCAGCCAGCAAGCCAGCCCTTCAAATTCCTAGGCTGCTGGTTTACTCTAGATAACAAACAATCAAAGCAAATACAACAAATTGCTGCTAAATTATCACAACTTATTCAGACAATTAGCTCTAAACGTATTACTGATACTCAAGCCTGCTATATTATCAATATAGTCATTATACCTACTATAGAGTACTGGCTACATAATATTGTACTCAGCCAGTCAATATGTAACAAGATTCTTACACATCACATAGGCCTAGTCAAGCATAAAGCCAAACTTAGTCGCACTATTCCTACAAGTACACTACTGCATCCCAATATCTACAATATCAAAAATATTTGGGATATCCAGCTTCAACACCACATCCCCAACTTTATCAAATGGCTTAACAATACAGAGCTACTCGGCACTTCAACACTTATCCGAATTCAGCAGCTACAAAACAACCTATAGTCCACTACAAACATACTCAGTTATCCCAACCCTACTATTGAAGGCCCAAACAAAAATATAACCAACTTTAAATTATACAACTTTTTAGACATATAAACTAGATAATCAATATTAATCCTAATATCCCCATCTCATTTACAATACAAAAAGGCGCAGTCCCCCTTGAATTAATTCTAGCCTCACATCCCAAATACCCTATCTTTAAAAAACAAATACGGCATCACCATCTACTCTTCTTAGACCAGCTAACTATATCCAACAATTCATGCCTGCTAGAATGGAAACACATCTCACCAAGACTTAACAAAATTCCAAAAGGCAAAACACCCCTATGGTTTATTACACTTGAAAACCTCACTATGCACAACCCTACACAACGTACGATTTACTCACATTTTAACCTTCCAGCTACTAATTATTACTGCTACAATACAGGACACTTTTACCAACACACCAAACCCTGGATAATCTCCTTGCTTGATGATTAATTTGTTATTGGCAAATCTCGTCGCCAATCAACAACATCTGGCTACACCCTAGTAACTCACTAGCAGTGCCACGACCTTAACTACTCATCACAACTTTATCTACTTGCCCCCACAACCTCTTTACCTTGTAGCAACTGCTCCCTTAATACGAACATTATCTCTAACAAATGTACTATTCTTATACCTACTAACCGAGCAACCAAGTTTCTTGGCAGAATAAACCCAGACAAATCAATCAACTTTCATGCCAATTATCAAGATCTAATACACTCGATCTTACTTTTGAACACAACCCTAGCACTACCAAACCCCACAATCATTATACAGCAATCTCAAATCCCTAATATCTTTATACCAAACGAAGCCTTTCACACCCTCCAAACTATTGCTAATGCTAACCAAAAAGCATCCAACCTCACCTTTTATACTGATGGCTCTGTAACTAATATTGGTAGCACCCAATGTTCTATGGGCATTGGCTAGCTACAAACACAAAACCAAACAGTAATACACAGATTTCAAGCAAAAATTAAACTATAGCCATGCTCGTTCAAAGCTAAACTCATTTCAATCTTATCAGCTATCTGCACAGCCCCAAGGAACTGTACTATATATATCTTTACAGACTCCCAATCAGTTATTTCAAAGTTCAACAACTTACTACACCAATCTCTTTTACTGTATGTAACAAAAACACCCTATTGGTCAATCTGGAACACCCTATTGAATTTCTCGCAGTCCTACAAACTCAATATTATTTTCCACAAAGTTACTGCTCACCAAGATGATATATTTAACAACATGGCTGACCAACTAGCAAGAGACCACCAGCTCTCACCACACCTTGTGTTTAATCTCTCCAATATATACAACCCCTACTATATGATGCACTCAGATAACTTTCCAGTTAAACTTCCTCTCCGTCACAGCATTAGAACAATACAACAAGCACACATCTTCGATATCTGGTCTTCACAAAACCGTATTCAAAAATGGGCACAAATTTTTCCACATATTCACTGGCAAGCCATTTGGCTATACCTTAACAACAACCAGAAAACTTCTAACTATTCACATAGCTTTCAATCCTCCATATATAAATCTTTCAGAGTAAAACTACTATTAGATGAACTACTAGCACCTCATACTCTTCATAAAAGAAATTTCACACTCACCAACAAGTGCTATATATGTCAGGAAGAGAGTACAAGTTTACACTGGGCAATTTGCCCCCCTACTCGAGATAATTCAAAATTCACTTTAGGATATATTCAGCTACAACAAGCTCGAAATAACACAAATGCAAGCAAAGTAGCTCCACTCCTTAATTAGAAACCTGGACAGTCTTCAAGCCCATAATTTCACCTATAAACTATCCCTTTTTTCAACACTCTCAGGCCTCATCCCACTCGATATTATTGATATACTAAAAGAGTATACTTCCTCTTCTAATATGGCCAAGTCTCTTGCAATTAAACTCTTTCTCAAAATCAATCAACAAGTGTATACGTCAATATGGATCCTCTACTGTATAGCAAGATCACAGATCTAACAAGTAGCCCCACCCTCTAGCTCCCTACCACATACTCTACCAGGACCACACATTCCATCCCAACAAAACACCAACCCAACAGTATCTCCACTCTCTAAAGTTAATAAATAGTACACTAACTGGATCAAATATTAAACACACCCTCACAAATCTTTATCTCTTCTGAAGCCTTGGCCACTCTAGTTGGTTTAGGCTACAGATAAGTATTCAGGTTTACCCAGAAATATGTCTGAGTTTTTATACTTAGCATTAGATTTAAGAGCAGTTTTTTCCGATTTTGTAAAAAATTTTAATTAAGTTTAATAAAGATAAGAGCAAGGTCTCACTATTAGTATTAAAAAAAAAAAAAAATTATTTATAAATTATAAACAGTTAATTTTAACTAATTATTTTAAGTTTTTCAAAAACTTTAATAATAGACTCTTCTCTGCAAATCCTTGTACCAAAATCGAGCTAAAGACAAACAATCAAAAGACAGAAAAATATGCTACTAAACAGTATTTTAAAGACTAAGAGAAAAGAAGCATCAAGGAAAATCAACTAAAGTTAACTAGTACTTCTAGTCTGTCTGCTAACTGGTTAAAGACATATAGCTGAAAAACTGCTTCTCGAAAAAATTTTCTTTACAAAAGTGAATTTTGGGGGATTGGCTTTGACCCTGTAATGTAGATCACTAAAAACAATAAACAATCACATGACGCGCTTGCGATTAAAGTAAACAAACAAATACCAACGCGTATACACGTCACGTGCAAATAAGAATACCACCACTTATAGAATATAGAAACTTTTTCTCCAAATTAAGAGAGAAGAAACTTGCATTTTACAGTAAACAAGAGCCAACAACTCTAAAACAAGACAAATTGATAGCAGAGTATCTTGGAGCAAATGATGTCTGCCTTATTGCAATTATCCATGTAGTGATTGAAAGATATAAATAGGCAGAGAGTAAGGAGTTTAAACATGAGTCTATTTCAGATGAGGAGAAAACCCTGCTAGGGAATATGGTTACTGCAAATGATACTCAAGAAGAATCTACTAGAAATAGCTCTATTCTGATAGACATTGTTCCTATTAAACCAATTACCCTATCAAGCAATTATGGAAAAAATGTACTAATCGATGTCAAGAGCTCTGCCTGTAAAAGATATCTCCCCGAACATGAAGAACAACCAATTCAACTAACAATGAGCTTGAAAGTAGTCAAAACATACTAGTACAAAATGAAGTTGGCACATTAGATTATAGTTTGGTTAAACCTCTCTCACCAGACAAACACAGCAGTTCAAAAAGCAAAAACAGTAAAAAAAGTTAAAAAACATGAAGACATATTTAACTCAGTATGAGCACCCAAGGGAGATTTCACGTCAAAAAAATATATAAATGAATCTTTTTATTTCTTTACACTCTGGGATCTTCCAAGAGAATCAAGCATAATAGAAATTAAAAAATTTCTTAAGTATTTTGGTACAGCATCTATTCTAGCTTGGCAATATAATTTCACAAGCAAGGCGGCTTTCATCAAAATTACAATATTTGCTGAGAAGCATGAAACCTCATTGAGAGAAAATTGGTCAATACATTTTGACCATGGCAAGACGTATAGAGTCACACCAGACAAATTTGATATCAAACTTCTAGAAGAGCGAAACAAATTCAAAACTATTATATATAATGTACCATCAACAGCATATGATAGCCTCCTACTCCGTTAGCTAAAAAAATACAGAGTACAAGCAGTACACACACTAAATAACCGAAATGGCAACCAAAGCAGAAGAGCACAATTGTATTTCAAATCCAAGCAGGATCTTTTACAAGCTCAGAAGTCGACACTATACTATTTTAATACAAAATTAGAGTAGAGATCACAAAGTAGAGAGACAGAAAGCAGTAGTTTTACAAGTATACAACACTTTCAAGATACAAAAAGACTCTGAACAAACTCAAGTAGACCCTCTTGGCAGACCTGTCCAGAAAGCAAAAAGGCTATAGAAACCCTAAAACAGGATACTAATAAGCACAGAGATCAAAGGCCGAGATTAATTGAGGAAAATCTAGTTTCAGACAAAGAAAACTTAGATATTCAATCCAGAAATATGGTAAAGCCGTTTGAAGAAAGCGTGAATAAACCAAAATGCAAATTTACGGGAAAGAATATTCAGTCTATTAATATGCAATGAGAAGTCAAAAGACCAAGTATCGACCAAGAACCAAAAAAATTTGTGGAAGAAAGTAGTAAAAATAAAGTAGACCAAGTTAACCTGTTGCAGGAAATTCTTAAGAGACTAGAATTACTCGAAGAGCATCAAAATGGGGGCAAAGCCTCTATGCGCTCCTAAGAGGTGCCACAGGCACCACATCAATCATAAGTACCCCAAATAGCAGCCAGATTTGGACATAGCCAGTACCATTAAGAATTTCAAAACTGGCTAAGCAGATCAACATAGCAACACACAACATTAATAGGCTTAAGGTACATAATCATAGAATAGAGCTTCTGTTAAAATGGGCAGTAGAGAGAGATTACAACATAATTGGAGTCACAGAGACAAACCTGCAAGAGCGTGAGGCAGGGTTTGTAATAAAAGACAATATTAATTTCAAAAGAATATGGTCGATCGGTTCAAACTCTAAAAAGAAAGGCTTTGGTGTTGGCCTCCTGGTTTGAGAGGATGTAGAAAAGCATATTGGCAAAATAGAGAAACCAAATGAATATATATTAATAGTGTACTTTTATTTTAAAATCTACAAGTTAGTAGTAATTTTGGTTTATATTCCCCCAAATGATATGGAGATGATAAAAAAGATAGATACATTAGTTCGAGACAAAATAAGTAAAATACAAGATAAGGACCTTACAATCATAATGGGAGACTTTAATCATACAATAGATCTAGAATTAGACAAGTCATCACAAACAGAGAGTTCTAGAAAACTAGCATTGCATAAATGGCTTAAATAATATAATTTTGTGGATATATACAGATTGCTCAACCCTCACAAAAAGAAGTTTACATGAAGCAATAATACAGTCGCAACAAGAATTGATCAAATATGGGTATCCCAAAACATAGTGAAAATAATGCAAAAGGCTAATATTGAGGACATGTTAGTAATTACAGGTAGTGATCATAATTTAGCATTTACAAAAATTAAATAGTATTTGCCATCCCAATTAAATAACCACCTGACTAGAAATATACCAAGTATGAAGCAAAGAGTGTGGAAGCTAGATTTAGCTACAGAAGAAAATTGGAATAGTTATCGATCGAGTCTGTGGAGTAGACTAAACATTAAACAATTAAAAGTTTTTAAAACAAGAAATATTACCTACAGACCCATTGACATTAGAAAAGTTAGAAGCAGATCTTGATAAACTATAGGAGACTATAGAGAGTGCAATTTTACTAGCAGGTCAGCACAATCTACCAAACAAGATAGTAGATTTTGGGAGAAAAGTAAATCGCAAAGCAAAAAAAGCAGATTCTTAAAAGCAGCATACTTGCTAGGCAGAGTAATTAAAGAAACTAGAGTAGCAAACAGTATCGGGCTACAGGAAAAAATCGCAGATTGGAATAGAAGAATCAAGCAAATAAACATATTAGCAGATAGCAACGTTAAAGATATCAAGATATTAGAAGATAGCATATGGCAGACAGATGCACGCATGTGGTGGAAAGCAATCGAAGGCAGTTAATAACAAGTAGTGAGAAGAAGAAGGAAAAAGAAATACGAGCATTCATTCAAAGAAAAGCAGAACAAATTGTAAATGATCAAAAGAAAATGCTAACCAGTCTTGGATAGAGTACTATTACAAAATCAAGACCAAGAAATATTATTAAATGATCCGGTAGAAGTTTTGGAAGAAGTTCAAGCCCACTTCCAAAAGCAATTCATAGGCAAAGAAAATAGCTACACAGAGGTAGAGAAACTTTGGGCTGACGAGTACCAGCCCAAAGAGAGAATTCAAAAGTCTTGGTTTGATCCAGTAATGCAACCAATTACATTAGAGGAGTGGCAAGCAATGTTAAGGGAAAGTAAAGTTAACTCAGCCCCAGGAATGTTAACAATTACATACCCTCTATTGAAACAATTTGCAAAATTATGTCTACGAGTTGGCAATATTCTAGCTAAATGGAAAATGACGCAAATTTACCCTATACCAAAAGGGCAAGATTGGGAATTTAACCTAGACAGAGTAAGACCAATCGCATTAATAAAAGTATTTAGAAAATGTGTGACAAAGATACTAACAAAGAAACTAAGCAAAGTTATTAAAGAAAAAGATATCTTACGTGGTCCCAACTTTGCAAGATTACCTGGCAATTCTACTGAAGAGCCAGCTCACATACTGAAATTGCTTATTGAGGAAGCAGAAGAAAATAAGCGAGAAATCTGGTTACTATTTCAAGATATGAAGAAGGTATTCAATTCAGTAAATCTAAGCATGTTAGAAAAAGCCTTAAGAAGAATTAAAGTCCCAGACAGATGCTGCAAATTCATCCTAAACTTGTTCACAAACAGAAAGTTAAGGATTATAACAGCATTTGGATTAATACAAGAAGTTTTAGCAAAAGAGGGTATTGATCAAAGAGAGGTGATCCCCCCTACTGTGAAGAATCTTCTATGATCCTCTGTTAGACTGAATACAAAAAAACAAAGAGTTATGTTATGAAATCGAAATGCCAAAGCAATTTGAAGAGCTGCTAGGAACTAGAAAGGAAAAAAGTATAAGACAAGCATTTCTCACCTACGCGGATGACACGACATGTATTGCCAGCTCCAAAGACCAGCTTAAGCAAATAATCCAGATTGCAGAACAGTTCTTTCAATTAAATAGCATAGAAATCAATGGTAACAAGTCCAAGCTAATCACACTTAACTCAAAACTTCTAGTCAAAAAAAGACAAATAGAGTATGGCAGATCTGTAGTAGAAGCAGTTAAAAAGCTTAATGAAATTCGCTTTCTAGGCACATTCCCTCACACTACTACTAAAGAAATAAGCGGGATAAAAAAAAGAGTAAAGCAGATTGTAGGCTTGTATGCACATAAATTAGAAAGAAAGAAAACTACAACAAGCCAACTGGCATATATAAATAATCAAGTTCTGATCCCAAAACTAGAATATATCCTTTAGACGGTGGCTTTGTCAGAAAGAGAATTATATTTAATTCACTAATCCTTTGAACATTTAATAAAAAGAAAGCTAGGTATTGCCCAAACAGTGCCAAATAGTATATTAGTACATGGAGAGACACTAGATATCAAAATGCTCATAGAAACAGTTTTAGCAAAACAGGCCACATCACTTTTGAAAAGACTAAATAGCTCTGGTACAATAGAAAGCCTAACCAAAGTGCGAATTAGGCAAGGAATTTTAGAGAACTGCATAACATGCAATATTTGGCAAGAAAGAGTTAATGAAACATGTTCAATATACAAGAACAATATCATATTAAGTATAATCGAACAGTGTAAAAAAATAGATATAATATTTAGGCCTGAAGAGGAGGGCTGGTATATCCAAGGTTCGGAACCTACAATTACAAGTCTGCTAGATACTAAGCAAAAAAGTAAAAGTAGAAGTGCACAAGCAAAACTAGGTATATATTATGTCAATTAGTTGCTTGATCCTAGTGGCAAGAACTTGTTAACATGGCAACAAGTTAGGACAATTAAAGGTTTTAGTAGCTATGACAAAACCCCTCTCCGGTATACAGCTATCGAAGAAGCAGTTCTGGAAAAGGCAGAAGAATGAAAAGTAAAATCACAATTCCGCCTACTAGAAACAAATAGAGAAGCTCTTGTTCCCAGACTACTTAATATTCACCCAGACAAAAGAAAAAAAGATTGGATCTTGTTCGAAGAGAAAAAGGATCAACCCTTATTTGGCTGAATACAGAAGAAGAAGTATAACAAAGTACTTGTTGAACATTGGGTAGAATCAGGCCTAATAAAAAGTGGTACTTTGGTAAAGTACTGTCAAGGTTGTGATTATAACATGAAGGGCAAAAAGAACAACTGTATGCTAGAATTAAAGCAAGACAAAGTACTAGGAAGAGTAGAACACATATCAAAAACCAACGACAGTACATGTGTTAAATTTGCACCAGAAATTTACAATTACTTCAAGAAGGGAAGTAACATAGTAGAGAGCCAACTTATAAGTACAGAAGAGTTAGAGACAGAAAGCATCGAGTATATAAAGAATCTTAACCTCCCAGCAAATATCACAGCTTTATTACTTGATGGATCAAGAACGAACCTTAAATATAAAAGGAGTAAATACATATTCTATACAGACGGCTCATGGTTACCAAATAAACATAATAAAAGAGAAGAAAATAGAATGGGGCAGGCTGGGTCCAGGTCTCCGTAGATGAAAAAAAATTAGTTTTCTCAGGCAAAGTAAGAGTAAGCAATTGGCCCTTATCCACAAGACCAGAACTGCTAGCAATATTATGTGCGTTATTGACAGTTTCAACAGATATAGTAGTTGTGATTAAATCGGATAGTGCAGTAGCAATTCCGATGATAAAAAGCACACTCAGAGAAAAAGAGTTCAATAAGAGTCTAAAAAAGAAAATAGAACGCTACTTGACAAAATTATAGAGACAGTTCAATTTAAGTGGATTAAGTTAGAACTAGTAAAGGTGAAAGCACACTTAGGTATAAGATGGAATGAAAAGGCAAATAGTATCGCAAAAGAGGGAGCCTTTTTTGATGAAACGTGGAGATGGCCAAGTACACTTAGGCCACGTTGGAATTTTGATATAGCTTGGTCAAACAAAAACATCAAACACTCTCTGTGTAGTTTTATACTCAGAGTTAAAAGAAGACTAATAGAAAGTGAATGGTACTTGTCAAAAAAGCTTGAACCATTATGACAAATAGAAGTAGAAAACAGTACAATGTGGTTCTTGTGCTGGAAAAGACTAATAGAACTTAGAGGGCAAAGGTGCAAGTCACTGATGAGCAGTAATAAACTAGT